AACCAATTTCCATGTTCTGTTTACGTGACAAACCTTACTAATCGGCTGTGTCGGGTAGTGGCTGGTTTAACGACACAATTATATTTATGCGATCTAACCCCCCCAAAAAAACACCTGTATTACGTGTGTTTAGTTTAAAAAAAATATAGCCCGTGCCGTGTCTGCGAGTGTAAATGCAAGAGCCCAGACACTTCTGAACGCGAGCCCTCCAGAAGGCGACGGGCGCTGGGGGCGGTTGTAGCATGATCACCGATTTGTTGAAGAGGTTCACGGTTCGAATGCCAGCGGCCGCCCTGGTTAATGCTGCGGTGCGGTATTAACCGTAAAAATATATATGCAGCGGGCGTTTAAAGATCCCGGCGCTCGCATTGTGGGAAGGCCTTCATCCGGCAAGCGGCTTAACCGTTTGTATTGGTTTTAACCCTCGATAATACTAATGAGCAATTTGAAATGAACACAATTTGTGAAAACAAAAACAAACATTATTTTATTACTTTGTGAAAACTATATTAACCTGCAGCAGGTGTGGCAGTTTCTGCACAGGCAGGGGAGATGGGAGGACCAGTGCCGGATGATCTTAGGAGCAAAAGTAGCTACACAAGTAGTAGCTACGGGCCCTGCACTTTCAAGGGCCCCGTGATAAATGCTTTCAAGCTATCAATTCCGGTTCAGTGATTCTGCAATTGCTCTATTACTATAGTACTATACTGCTCTCAACTTTTATGAACGACTGGGTGTGTAACGTTAGCGATTTGTCGTATTATCTGGCTGTATAGCAAATGAAAAATACTGTACTTCACTATAAAAAAAAATTGTTTTTTAATATTTACGTGTTTTTATTTTTTTTATTTAGGGCCCCTTCATAGCATATGCTACAGGCCCCGCACTAGCTTAGTCCGGCACTGGGGAGGACAGAAACATTAACCTCCACGTGGTGTTGCAGATGTCACCACCGGGAGATGTATCCGCCGGCCTGTGATGACGCGTAACGTCAGCCCTGGCGAATGTGTGAATTTGGTGTAAGAGGGTGGTGGCTGTCGTCTCACGCACAGGAACCCGCACCTGCACGCTGTTCTCAGCCAGCCGTGTTACCGCAGTAAAATTCCAACACAATACCGGCACCAGGTGTCGATGCGGATCAACGCCCTGGCCGCCCGGACGCTGATTTACAATTCCCGTGTCGACGATGACGCCGCTGACACCCCACGAACGAGCATCCCGGTGCGGTGCGCAAACACCGCCGCCCACGCCCTCGTGCGCCGTGTGCCGGGCCCTCACGAGGTGCTCCCTCGCCGCGCACGCCCCGACGGCGGTCCGTTGGGGGCTACAAGGGGGATCTTCTGTCTCGTCGGGCTTTGGCAGAGTGGGTTTGCGCGAGTGCGAGCGATCGTCGTGTGAAGAGCGTTGCCGGCACGATGACGTCGTCGTTGGTGAGGGGGTGGCGGTGGCCCAGTCCATGCTGGCTGGCTGGTTGGCTGACTTGCTGGTTGGCTGACTTGCTGGCTGGCTGACTGGCTGCTGGCTGACTGGCTGCTGGCTGGCTGACTGCTGTTTGACTGCTGGCTGACTGCTGGTTGGCTGCTGGCTGGCTGACGAACTGGCTAGCTGACTGGTTGCTGGCTGGCTGACTGGCTGCTGGCTGGCTGCTGGCTGGCAGGCTGCTGCCTGACTGCTGGCTGGCTGACTGCTGGCTGGCTGACTGCTGGCTGGCTGCTGGCTGTTGCCTGGCTGACTGCGTATTGGCTGCTGGCTGGCTGGCTGTTGCTGCTGTGCCGCTATCCCTGGCAGACGAAGTAGAACTTGACTTGCTTGTCGATGGCGTCGCGTAGGAGCTCCGCTTTCTCCTCCAGCCCCACCAGGCTCTGAGACCTCCTCGCCAGGAGATCCTCTCCCTCCGCTACCACCTGCTCAAGACCTGAGCGCAACAACAACACGAGGGATGAGGACGGTTTTTCATTATTTGTGTTAGGACATTGTTTTTTTAATAATTTGTTGTCATTATAAATATCTTTTTATCTTGACTTAAAGCTTTCGTGACTGCAGGAATTCATATTCTTTGGGTCTTTGGGTAAAGTCACGTAGATAAGTTCATAGAAAATAAGAAAAAAACTACGACGTTTCGATCGCAACACAAGCAATCGTCAACAGGAGAAAAAAACGATTGCTTGTGTTGCGATCGAAACGTCGTAGTTTTTTTTTCTTTGAACCTATCTACTTGAGTTTACCGAAAGACCCAAAGCATATATTTTTATCAATTTGTCGATAGATTTTTTTTGTTTGCTTTGATTAACCACCATTGCTTTTTTTTAGGTGACTTTAAACGCAGAATTTAATGTTTATTTTACGTGCATCTCCGTCGCTCACGCGAATCCCATCTCTCACAATCGCCGAGGAATCACAGGTGGCCTGGACGGCAGCGACCAGGCGGTGAACCGGCGCTACCAACGGTCGTCCAATCTCTGCAGTCCTCTGTATATCAAGATGTTTCCGTCCGGTTAATAGCTCGCGCGCGAGACGTACTCTGCAAGCGCCGCATGCGGTCGCGCGCCGAGTCCAGCAGCGCCGTCGCCTTCTGCTGCAGGGCGAGGGCCCTCTGTGACGCGCTCCCTCCCTCTCCACCACCTCCACCTCCTCCACCTGCTCCACCTGCTCCACGCCGGATAGGAAAACGACAACAAAATTGTCGCTCGTCAAGCGGCACGCTCATCGCTCACCCCCCCCCCCCCCCCCGCGCGTCCAAACCGATTGGACACATCCACACGCAAATTTGTCGTCCCTGCCACGGCGATTATCTCGGCTGGCAAAACCCCAACCCCTTCCCCCCCCCCCCGAGTACTACACATCACGACTGCTGGGATATCAGGGCTGTCCGCAAGACGCACAGGACGGAGGCACCTCTGTGGGTTTGGCCATGCCGCGCTCCGTCGCTAACAAAAGGGAAGACGACGGTGATGATGGCCCACGCGGCGTGTCGACGAGCGTCTGCTCACGGCAGCCCAGCCGGCTGCCGCGGAGAAGGGATTGCGTGCCAGAGAAGCCGTCGGTGCACGGGACGCGCCGCGGAGTTTTGCTTTGACTAATATTGATGACATTTGCCGCGGAAAGGTTAAGAAAGCGTAACGTCTTGTCTGAGATTGATTTCCGAGTCAAAAGGGCGCCGTTGTAATTTGGAGTAAACATGCCCAGCGATTTTTTTTGTTTGTCATTGCGCAACACATTGCCGTGTTTGCAAAAAAATATATTAATAGCGCCGCGTCAAAACATGTCCCGTCACGCTCAAGCGAGCGCTGGTCCAGCCCTCGTCTCCATTGGCGTCCTGAGGCAGCCGTAGAAATTCCACATTCTGAGCTCAACTATGAAACGGTTTTTCTTTTTAGCAGGTAGGGCCCACTGAGCTCCACAGCTCTTTTTCAGAAGCGACCTGGCAACAAATGACTGCTCAACGAAGTGGCCTGTCATCGCGTGGAAATGGATAGCGGCCAAAACGCACGTTGATTCTAAATGTGGAGGTGAAAAAGCGGAGGACCTGAAGAAAAACACACGCCACCACGGGGAGAGAGAGAGACACACAAACTCCAAATATACAGCAGCAGGCGTCAGGGTCTGTATCGAACCCACGAACCTCCTGCATACCAGGCGAGGGAGTCAACATCTCCTATCCACAGTGGTGCCCTTCGTGGCAGGGGCCAGTCTATCCCATCGGATGACAATCATGGTCCTCACTATAATGACCCTGTGGGGGAAGACGAAGCTCTTGGGCCAAATTGACCCCCCCCGTCCCCCAAACGGGAATTGAACTCGTGACCTTCAAGCTGTGAGTGACGCGCATTCGCCACCAGTGGCCTCCCGGCTCGATTCACTTTGGAGTAAGGAAAACAAAGAGATGTTTTTTTTTTTCCCCACCGACCCCAATTTCATCGCAGCCGCACGGTCGCCGACACGCGTCTCGCGGATATCGCAGCGCTGCTGCTGCTTCTGAGATCCGAGATCCCATCCAGTGACCTCTGGTCCCACTCGCTCTGACAGTAGCGTCCGTCGCACGACACTAATACAGGCTTAGTTATTTGTTCACAATAGAGGAGGGTTTTTTTTTTGGGTTGGATCGCGTAATGATACAAATGTGTCGTTAAACCCGCTACCAGCCGACACAGACAATTAGAGTAAGGTTTGTCACGTAAACAAAACGTTTCTTTGTTTATTGGATATTTTTTTTCCCCTCCGCGGCTGCAACTTAACAAATTAAGTGCGGAAAACAATTATTTTTGTCATGCTATTTGTGCGCTGCTATTGCTCACGTACATAGAAAACTAATTCCCCCCCCCCCCTCACCTCCGATTAGCACGGTTGGCTACGTACGGTGTGAAAGAAGTTCAACATATGTACGGTTTAACACGTAGGCTTACGCAAGCAATATTATCCAAAATAGAGGGGTTTTTTTTGGGATAGATCGCTGCACCTGACAGCCCTGCCTTCATCCTTCGGTGACCCTCTGGATCTCAGAGGTTGTCCGCTCAGCGCTCTGTCCTCTGTTCCACGTGGCCACCTCCCATGTGACTGACAGGGCACAATTACTCACACCCAGCCTTTTGGGGGGGGGTTGGGGTCAAAATAACGCCACTTTGTCTCAGAGGTCGCAAACGGGTTTTGATTCCTTACCCGTACCCGTACCCGTACCCGGCCGCACCAGGGTCGCAAATGGGTACCCGTACCCGTACCCTACCCGAAATGAGTGACAAATGATGACTCACCAGTGACTCACGGCCTACCCGTACACGGCCGCACCAGAGTCGCAAACGGGTATCGGGTAGGGTACGGGTATCGGGTACCCGGTTGCGACCTCTGCTTTGTCTACAGTCGGTGGCTGGCCTCCAATTAACAGTCCGCCCTCCGCCATAAGAATGTGGAATTGCCGCTGCCTACCTCTGGGCAGCCGAAGGAAACGGTCGCCGCTCCATGCACACAATGTGGGCCCTGTGACCTCTCATCTGCAACGTTCACATTTAATCACCTGACGATCCTCCTGTTGCAGATCCTCCTGCTGATCCTCCCGTTGCAGATCCTCCTGTTGCAGATCCTCCTCCTGTTGATCCTCCCGTTGCTGATCCACCTGTTGATCCTCCTATTGATCCTCCTGTTGATCCTCCTCCCGTTGCTGATCCTCCTGTTGCAGATCCTCCTCCTGTTGCAGATCCTCCTCCTGTTGCTGATCCTCCTGTTGATCCTCCTGTTGCTGATCCTCCTCCCGTTGCTCCTGACCTCCCAGCCGCCTCTGTCTTAAACCTATCCATTAACTCACGTAAAGATGGCAAATCCTGCACGCACACACCGGGATAGAGCAGATGATGGAGGACATTTCACGGAGAGGAAATAAAAACGGAGACGTAGGCATAGGAGAGGAGGAAGGTCTTGAGCCAGGAGCGGATAGAGCCGGACAATCGAGGAGCTCCAGACAACGGGGGGGGGGGGGCAGCAGCAGAGAAGGAGTGACCTCCCACGGATGACCGTGAGCTTTGACGCGGAGGCCTGCGCTTGCCCGGAGTGGAGATCCCACGGAGGGAGGGACGAGCCGACGAGAGGGAAGAGACGGGCGAGTCGGACGACTCCGGGCGGGCGAGCGGGGGCGACGCCACAGACAGGATCTTGAAGAAGGCGCTGGGGAGACGTCGGGGCCGACCCGAGATTGGACCGGCGAGGCACCGGCGGAGAGGATCGTGCCCGAGCGCTTCCGATTGCTGTTGCCAACTGCTTGTTTTGATTTGACCAGGTAATGCCCACTCAGCTAGAGAGAGATCTTTTTCTGAAGTGACCCAGCCAGTTACCCTCCCAATGTCGACCTGCGTATTGTGCTGGGCTCGCGTTTTGTCGGGAAACAAACACAAAAAGAGTGACCTGGCTATCACAAATGATAGCTCAACGAAGCGGCTTATCATCAACATCAGCAGCAGCAGCAGCAGCATCATCGCGTGGGGATTTGCAGCAGTCAGCCATAAACTCCAAACGCTTGACGTCGATTCTAAATGCGAATGGGGGAAAACCCCGGAGGACCCGGAGAGAAATCCACGCGACCACGGCGAGAGGGCGAGAGAGCGAGAACATGCAGACGTACAGCAGGCGTTAGATTCGGGATCGAACCCGCGACCCCTCCAGCATACCTGGCGAGGGAGAGTCACGTGTCCGAGCCACCGCCACCACCGTGCCCCCCTCTCACCTCTCACCTCGCCCCCCCCTCTCACCTTGCCCCCTCCCCCCTCTCACCTCGCCCCCTCCCCTCTCACCTCGCCCGCCCCCCCCCCTCTCACATCGCCCGCCCCCCCTCTCACCTCGCCCGCCCCCTCCCCTCTCACCTCGCCCCCTCCCCTCTCACCTCGCCCGCCCCCTCCCCTCTCACCTCGCTCTCTCACCTCGCCCGCCCCCTCCCCTCTCACCTCGCCCCCTCCCCTCTCACCTCGCCCGCCCCCTCCCCTCTCACCTCCCCCCCTCCCCTCTCACCTCGCCCCCCTCCCCTCTCACCTCGCCCCCTCCCCTCTCACCTCGCCCGCCCCCTCCCCTCTCACCTGGGCAGCGCTCTCGGCCCCGGCCGCGGCCTCCCGTGCGGCTCGCTGGGCGTCCTTGGCAACCCGCTGCAGTCCCTCCGACTCGGCGAGGAGGAGCCCCGTGCCGCCCGCCAGCGTTTGGAGGGAGGTGGCCAGGCCCGGGATGCGTGCGGACGCCTCTCCAGCCCGGGACTCCACCTGCGGAGGTTATTGGAATCTCGGGTTTTTTTTGTTTTTGGAGGGGGGGGGTAGGGGGGTTGAGCACGCGTCTGTGTTGTTCGTGGATGGGTGGGTGAGTGAGAGGGTGAATGCGTGGATGGGTGGGTGAATGAGAGGGTGAGTGCGTGGATGGGTGGGTGAGTGAGAGGGTGAGTGCGTGGATGGGTGGGTGAGTGAGAGGGTGAGTGAGTGAATGGGTGGGTGAGTGAGAGGGTGAATGCGTGGATGGGTGGGTGAATGAGAGGGTGAGTGCGTGGATGGGTGGGTGAATGAGAGGGTGAGTGCGTGGATGGGTGGGTGAGTGAGAGGGTGAGTGCGTGGATGGGTGGGTGAGTGAGAGGGTGAGTGAGTGCGTGGATGGGTGGGTGAGTGAGAGGGTGAGTGAGTGAGTGAATGGGTGGGTGCGTGAAATGGTGAGTGAGTGAATGGGTGAGTCGGTGTGTGAGCGAGTGAGTGAGATGGTGAGTGAGTGAATGGGTGAGTCGGTGTGTGAGCGAGTGAGTGAGATGGTGAGTGAGTGAATGGGTGAGTCGGTGTGTGAGCGAGTGAGTGAGATGGTGAGTGAGTGAATGGGTGAGTCGGTGTGTGAGCGAGTGAGTGAGATGGTGAGTGAGTGAATGGGTGAGTCGGTGTGTGAGCGAGTGAGTGAGATGGTGAGTGAGTGAATGGGTGAGTCGGTGTGTGAGCGAGTGAGTGAGATGGTGAGTGAGTGAATGGGTGAGTCGGTGTGTGAGCGAGTGAGTGAGATGGTGAGTGAGTGAATGGGTGAATCGGTGTGTGAGCGAGTGAGTGAGATGGTGAGTGAGTGAATGGGTGAGTCGGTGTGTGAGCGAGTGAGTGAGATGGTGAGTGAGTGAATGGGTGAGTCGGTGTGTGAGCGAGTGAGTGAGATGGTGAGTGAGTGAATGGGTGAATCGGTGTGTGAGCGAGTGAGTGAGATGGTGAGTGAGTGAATGGGTGAGTCGGTGTGTGAGCGAGTGAGTGAGATGGTGAGTGAGTGAATGGGTGAGTCGGTGTGTGAGCGAGTGAGTGAGATGGTGAGTGAGTGAATGGGTGAGTCGGTGTGTGAGCGAGTGAGTGAGATGGTGAGTGAGTGAATGGGTGAGTCGGTGTGTGAGCGAGTGAGTGAGATGGTGAGTGAGTGAATGGGTGAGTCGGTGTGTGAGCGAGTGAGTGAGATGGTGAGTGAGTGAATGGGTGAGTCGGTGTGTGAGCGAGTGAGTGAGATGGTGAGTGAGTGAATGGGTGAGTCGGTGTGTGAGCGAGTGAGTGAGATGGTGAGTGAGTGAATGGGTGAGTCGGTGTGTGAGCGAGTGAGTGAGATGGTGAGTGAGTGAATGGGTGAGTCGGTGTGTGAGCGAGTGAGTGAGATGAGATGGTGAGTGAGTGAATGGGTGAGTCGGTGTGTGAGCGAGTGAGTGAGATGGTGAGTGAGTGAATGGGTGAGTCGGTGTGTGAGCGAGTGAGTGAGATGGTGAGTGAGTGAATGGGTGAGTCGGTGTGTGAGCGAGTGAGTGAGATGGTGAGTGAGTGAATGGGTGAGTCGGTGTGTGAGCGAGTGAGTGAGATGGTGAGTGAGTGAATGGGTGAGTCGGTGTGTGAGCGAGTGAGTGAGATGGTGAGTGAGTGAATGGGTGAGTCGGTGTGTGAGCGAGTGAGTGAGATGGTGAGTGAGTGAATGGGTGAGTCGGTGTGTGAGCGAGTGAGTGAGATGGTGAGTGAGTGAATGGGTGAGTCGGTGTGTGAGCGAGTGAGTGAGATGGTGAGTGAGTGAATGGGTGGGTAAGTTCAAGCTGGATTATTTTTTCCACCATAGGACGACCGCTTGTGTTGCGATCGAAACATCGTGATATATTGTTTTTTTATTTTATTTTACACAGGCTGTTGGGGCAATTGCTGTTCACGAGCGCCTATCAATGCCATCGCAGCAGAGACGGGGTGGTGGGGGCTGCAGCGTGCCCATCTTTGCCTTTGTCTTCCCAGTGCTGCTGTTCACGAATGTGTACACACTGCCCCAGATGCTTGTTTAAGGGCCGAGTCGACCTAGGGGAAGCCTGGACAGCGCTATTGGTGTTATCCTTGGCTGAGAATTTAACACGGGTTACCGGGTTCATACCGCAGTATGCACACCAATGAACCACTGCTCCACCCACACACGTAATAAGACAAATATTCCCCGTATAGCCTTAACAGACTGTAGGGGCAAGTGCTGTTAGCGAGCACCTATGAAGGCCAGAACGGTACACGAGGGGGTGGGTGGCCAGCACCACGCCCGACCGCCTTTGTCTCCCTAGTGGCACAATGTTTACACACCGCACCAGGTACTAATTTGAGGCCGAGTCGACCTAGGGGAGGCCCAGGTCCGATTCAGATAATCGTCACTGGTGTTGGCCGTGAGCGGCAATCGAACCCGTGTCGCTGGGTTCGTAGCGCAGCGTAGCTAACCTCACACACGCTCACACTTACAGACAGAGACACACACAAGCAAACAGACACAAGACACACGCTGAAGGGGGCAGCTTACAAGCAGGAATTATGGTCAGATGGAACTATTTGTCTTGGTCAGGCGGTTCATAATGGCCACGTCAAAGCACTGAGACAACACTGCCGCGCTCCTGGGTTCAAGCACTGGGGCAGAGCACTGCTGCTCAATGAGTAGTGCTGCTCAATGAGTACTGCTGCTCAATGAGTACTGCTGATCTCTGAGTACTGCTGCTCAATGAGCACTGCTGCTCAATGAGTACTGCTGATCTCTGAGCACTGCTGCTCAATGAGTAGTGCTGCTCAATGAGTACTGCTGCTCAATGAGTACTGCTGATCTCTGAGTACTGCTGCTCAATGAGCACTGCTGCTCAATGAGTACTGCTGATCTCTGAGCACTGCTGCTCAATGAGTACTGCTGCTCAATGAGTACTGCTGATCTCTGAGCACTGCTGCTCAATGAGTACTGCTGATCTCTGAGTACTGCTGCTCAATGAGTACTGCTAACTCAATGAGTACTGCTGCTCAATGAGTACTGCTGCTCAATGAATACTGCTGCTCAATGAGTACTGCTGCTCAATGAATACTGCTGCTCAATGAGTACTGCTGCTCAATGAATACTGCTGCTCAATGAGTACTGCTGCTCAATGAGTAGTGCTGCTCAATGAGTACTGCTGCTCAATGAGTACTGCTGATCTCTGAGTACTGCTGCTCAATGAGCACTGCTGCTCAATGAGTACTGCTGATCTCTGAGCACTGCTGCTCAATGAGTACTGCTGCTCAATGAGTACTGCTGATCTCTGAGCACTGCTGCTCAATGAGTACTGCTGATCTCTGAGTACTGCTGCTCAATGAGTACTGCTAACTCAATGAGTACTGCTGCTCAATGAGTACTGCTGCTCAATGAATACTGCTGCTCAATGAGTACTGCTGCTCAATGAATACTGCTGCTCAATGAGTACTGCTGCTCAATGAATACTGCTGCTCAATGAATACTGCTGCTCAATGAGTACTGCTGCTCAATGAGTACTGCTGCTCAATGAGTACTGCTGCTCAATGAGTACTGCTGCTCAATGAGTACTGCTGCTCTCTGAGCACGGCGGTTCTGAGCCTTTCACTGCAGCCTGCACCCCATTGGTTCTCAATCGTAAAAAAAAAATTAACATTTACAATGTTAATAAACGCATCGGGTTGATGAAACAAAGTAAGTTGTGCTTTCGTGACCGTGCTTCATTTGCGTGTTCGATGATTTAGCTTCTAAACAAAATGTGTCCACGTGTCGCACCCCCAGAATGGGCATCATTGTACCCCCAGGGGATGCAGCGTGCACCCCCAGGTTAAGAATCCACTGCCTTAGGACGTTCACATTGGCCATGGTTAGAGAAGGCAGCCAGCACCGCTGACATCTATGAGTTTAAAGTGCCCGCGTGTGGGTGTCTCTACGCGAACCTGACGTTTAGATCAAATTAGTTGATCGCGTGCGGTGGGGTAAAGTGTGGGTACCCCCCCTCCCCCACCCACCTCTTCCAGGCTCGAAGAACAGGCCAAAATACTTTCTCGAGGTGTGGCTCTCTCTAAAGCTTCCCCTTGTGGAGGCTCTTCTGCCAGCAGAAGCAATTGCAGGGGCTGCACATTTACCTATATGAAGATATTTCTTTTTGCTTGTTGAATTCCTAATTATTGATGCTTGTTTGCTGAGCAAATCCTCACCGAGTCTCAATACTCTTTTTCAGGAGGGCCCTGCCACTTTTTTTTGTTGCGGTTGTGAGCAATCTTTTTGCGTGAATTCCAAATTGAGCAATTTACGATGTTCGGCTGTTGCCCGTCACACTGCGGATTTGTGGAGCGGGGAGGTATGGCTTTGGGAGGAACCCAGTGACGTTCGATCAATGAGCTATAGACCATCATCACGAGAGCTGCGGTCATTCTCGCAGCGGCAGCTTTTGGCTGACCATCGAAACGGAAATGCGTGGCCGTCTGGAACGCTCTTCCTTTCCGATATTAGGAAGCCACCAGAGCCATGCACTTTGAAAATCATCTCGATTGACGAACTGCTTTTTTGCGTTTAGTTTGTAGTCCTTTCCCCGCACGTCCAGTTACTCACGGTTGGTTACGTACGGTACGAAAGGAGGTTCAACATACTCAGACAAAGATCCGATTCGGATAATCGTCGCTGCTGTTCGCGTGAGCAGAGATCAAACTCGGGTCACCGGGTTCGTAGCGCAGCGCACTGACCGCCGAACTAACTAGCGCTCCCCATCTTTGGTTCAACATACCGATACCCGGCCATTCGCCACGAAGTGACGGCGATGTCACCACGGCGCCCGTGCCAGGCCAGGTGCACTTTGAGACCACGTGAAGTGTCGAAGGCTCAATCTTGATTTGAAGCTTTCGTGACTGCAGGAATCCATATTCTTTGGTTCTTTCGGTAAAGTCACGTGGTTAGAACAGCAGTTTCCCTGCTGTGATTGTCCTACCTGATGACGGCCGCTTGTGTTGCGATCGAAACGTCGTGATCGATTATTTTCTACCCACGTGACTTTACCAAAAGAAGTGTCGAAGGCTCGCCGACAGGGGGGTCACGGGACAGACCCATCAGGTGCCACGGGTTCAACATACACACACGTCCATAAGAGGTTAAATTTCGATTTAAAGCTTTCGTGACTGCAGGGATTCATCTTCTTGGTTCTTTCGGTAAAGTCACGTAGAAGGGAAGTAATAAAATAATAAAAATAAAAATAAAATATTTTATTATGTTTTATTTTTATTATTTTATTACTTCTCTTCTACGTGACTTTACCGAAAGAACCAAGAAGATAATAGAGGTTGTTTTGGGGTTAAATCGCGTAAATATATACATGTGACGTTAACACCCGCCACCACCCGACACAGCCAACTAGTAAGGGTTGTCACGTAAACAGAACATGCCAATTCGTCACTAGTACAGCACTAACCGGTTGTGTGTTGGAGAGCCAAGCCACAACATTTACAATCTGAGCACGACGTTTCGCCAGTAATTGCAACAACAACACATCTATTATGGATGATATCGGTCGCGAAAGCCTCTACGTGTTCAACAGACACACACAGGCGCGTACACAGGAACGGCCGTGTCCGTACAACTTACTTTCAAAGCCACTGCGAAACAACTTTATAGAAAAGAGGCTGGGCAGGTTGCCATGAGAGTCAGCGTCTTCTTCCACGCTCGGCGTGAATGTTTGCGCCACCGCTGCCAATGCTCTCCCTTGATGTGGCCGCATGTTTGTTGTTATCGTAGGGGGGGGGTCATTTGTTACCGCCAAACTTTTTAAACGAAAGTGAACATTTTTTTAGGGGGGTGGGTGGTGGGTTGGGAGGCGAGCCACAGAGCCACAGAGAATGTTGCGCGTGGCCTTCTGAGTTGTCTGCCGTGCGGGGGGTGTGTGTGCTCAGGCATTCTGATCAGGATAAAAAAAATCGTGCACGGAATGTGCAAATGGCTTTGACCGTTCGTCCTTCCGCCCGTTTGTTTCTCAGTCCGCTTGTGCTGGCGAGGGTCTCAGTGGTAGCAGCAGCAGCGTGCTGAGTAGTGGCGGTCCGGACCTCCCTTTGCCTGGCGACAGACTCCAGCACTCCTACACTATACACTACACTATACACTACACTATACACTACACTATACACTACACTACTATACACAATACACTATACACTACTACACTATACACTACTATACACTACACTACTATACACTACTATACACTACACTACATTATACACTACTATACACTACTATACACTACACTATACACACTATACACTACTATACACTACACTATACACTACACTATACACTACTATACACTACACTATACACTACTACACTATACACTACACTATACACTACACTATACACTACTACACTATACACTACTATACACTACACTATACACTACACTATACACTACATTACTATACACTATACACTACTATACACTACACTATACACTGCTATACACTACTACACGATAAACTACTATACACTACTATAATCTACTACACTACTATACACTACTGTACACGGACTTTATGTCTCCCTGGGGTAATTCCCAGGCGTTCCGAGGCCAGCCAAGCGACGCCGTCCCGCCAGCAGCAGCGTGTCCTGGGCCGGCCCCGGGGTCTTGGCCCAGTGGAACGTGCTGCTGCTGCTGCTCGCATGAGCTTTGGATTGCGCTCATTTCCATTGGTGGACATAAGCGCAGTGGTGAATATTCCACAGCCCTACGGCGGCTGCACTGATAAAATACATTCCACTCTCGATTAATATCCTAAGTGTGATGACCATCGTGCTGAAGATCATCCTTGCGTAGTGCTATCTTTCATGGATGCTGAGCGTTGCATTGGGATGTTTTGGAACCATACCGGTTACATTGTCTGTTTGTTGTCAGCTATGCGAGAAACCCAGAGGACCTGGAGGAAACCCAGCACAGAACCAGTGAGAACACACAAACTCCACTCATAGAGGCACCCGAGCCAGGAGTCGAACCCATCTGCTTCTTGCTCCGAGGCACGAGCGTTGCCACGTGGCAGCATGTACGCCATAGGTCGCAACCGGGTACCCGATACCCGTATCCTACCCGATACCCGGCTACCCGTCCCCAGCCGGGTACGGGTACGCCGTGAGTCACTGGTGAGTAACTGTTTGTCACTCATTTCCCAACGTCTTGTCTCTTCTCGCAATTCAAGTTCCTAGAATCAAGTCACCCGCGCCTGCAACATGGCTTCATCCCAGAGGTCGCAATCAGGTACCCGATACCCGTACCCTACCCGTACCCGACCGGGTACGAGTAGGGTACGGGTACGGCCGGGTACGGGTACCCGTTTGCGACCCTGGTGCGGCCGGGTACGGGTAAGGAATCAAACCCCGTTCGCGACCTCTGGTGTACGCGTCCATGCGCCCTACCTGGGCAAACCTCCTCCTCGCGGCCTCCAGGTCGTCCGTCATGCGGACGTCGGATCTCGTGGCCACCTCGAGCGCTCGCCGAGCGTCCGCGAGCCCGTCCCGCACGCCGTCCGCCTGCTCCGCCACCTTCGCCGCCGCCCCCCTGCCGCACACGCAGAGCGTGGAGTCTAAGTCGCGCTCAACAACAACAACTAGCTCAGCGTCACCACGGCGCGTGTGCCAGGCTACGTGCATGGTGAGGCCGCGTGAAGTGTCGAACGCCCGCTGGCAGGAGGTCACGGGGCAGACCCTGGTGCCCGGCACAGCCAATTAGTGAAGTTTGTCACGTAAACAGAACGGGCCAATTAGTTACTGGTACAGCACACCGGTGTGTCGGAGAGTAAACCCGCAACATTTACAATTTGAAGTACCGTGACGTTTCGCCGGTAATTACAACCAACTTCATCAGGTGACAGCCAGAGTTGTGGAAAGGTCCACCCGTTTCGGTCTTATAGAATTTTTAAACATATATTTTTTTTTACAAATTTTAACGGATCACAACTTTTCAAATAATAAGGACACGTCGAGCGACGATTCCTGTCCGCCGCACCTGGCGGCGTTGGCCTCCGCGGCGAGGCGTCGTGCCCTCTCCAGGTCCCGACGCGTCTCCTGCAGCACCTGGTCAACACTCGCCAGCCGCCCGGCGCTCCCCTGGATTTCTGCCACGAGCCGCTCCACGCTGAGCTCGCTCGCCGGCAGCGCAAGGGCCAAGACCTCGTTAGCAACTCGCTCCACGCTCCCCGGGTCCACGCCGTCCTCTGTGAGCGGTGGGGGTAGCGGTGGGGGGGTCAACGGGGACGGGGGGGGGCGGAAAAGGAGTTGGGGGGGGAGATATTTCATGACAAGGGTTTTGCATTTACGCTAAGTCCTCGCCTAACTCGTATTGTTCACACTGTCACGCGTTTTCGCTCGAACGTGGTTCTTCCAAAAGGTAACACTTTGCACAATGCGGAGTGCGCACCGTAATAATGCAGTTTCTGATCGGACGACCATGAACTACCTCCCTGAGCGGCACAGCTGAGCGGTGTGATACAGTCCGTGGAGTAATAACACAGTAAAGCAGCGGAATTGCCGCATAGAGTAGCATAGAAGTACATGACAACAACAACAACGACAACGCCCGTCCGCGTCGCTCACCCGAGAGGAACTGGCGCAGATTGCGGACCAGCGCCCGCACGTCGGCGATGGCGCGCCGGGTGTCGTTGCCGGAGCGGCCGGCGCGGTCCGAGAGCTCCCGCGCCGTCTCCTTCGCGTCGTCAGCCCCCCTCTTCACCTCCTCCGCCTGTCCGGGGAGAGGGGGGGTGTGGGGGTGTGGGGGGCCCACGACCACGAGTCACGCGTGAGTGCCCCCTCTCTCGGGAGGCAATGCCACGTCGGCGTCGACACCCCCCGGAGCGAAGGGAATCGGCAGAGGGGGCGATGCCGGATTAAGCAATTGCGGGGCCTGCAGCGCATGATGTTACAAAGGGACCCTAAATAACTAAACAAACACTTACATGTTAAAACACTAATAAAGTAATCTATTTTTTCATTTGCTATACAGCCAGATAATACGACAGATCGCTAACCTTAAACATCCAGTCGTTCGTAAAAGTTGAAGGCGGTATAGTACTATAGTAATAAAGCAAGTGCAGAATCACTAAACCGGAATTGATTGCTTGAAAGCATTTAGCGCGGGGCCCTTGAAAGTGCGGAGCCCGTAGCTACTACTAATGTAGCTACTACATATGCAGCTTCTACACATGCAGCTACTACACATGCAGCTACTACACGTGCTGCTACTGCACGTGCAGCTACTACACGTGCTACTGGGATAATCTGGCACTGTAGGGGACATGACGAGCCACAGCTGGCGACTGTTAATATTTTGGTGCACGTGGGGGGGGGGGGGGGGACCCCCAAAGTGCCATTATCACCCTCCTCTCTGACGATGGAGGTGAGGAAAACCGCACCAGCGGTAGAGCGAGCGGATTCACTCAGCCCCCCCCCCCCCGCACACCCCCCCCATCATCATCTCTCAGGGGGGTCGATAAAGTGAGCACGACTTGGTGAGGGAACTCAAAAGCGGTTGTCCTGTGGATGAACTCGTCCCCATCGTAGGAGTGTCGAGTTTCCACCACTGGTTCGCCGCTGTAAGTAGGATAGAGCATCTAAATGCGACAGCGTCTCAAGATGCTAATGATGGTGATACCATGATCATTATTAATCAATGGATATTTTCTATCCCACTCTTTAACTTGGCCAATCCTCCCTCCGGCGTTGATAACGCAGAGTGCCACTTTGCTGGCGAAGTCAACGGTGGTTGTGCTATGGATAAACTCGCCCCCTGCCATAGCAATGTCGAATTTCCACCAACTGACACCAGCTGAGATAATCACCACCTCTGTAGTCATCTGAACAGCGAATCGCCGTCACTTTGATGCTAACCGCATGGCGGAGTGGTGGCACGGTGGTCATTCCACTGTGTCGTGGGCCCAGACGCTTTGTTTCAGTTTGCAGCGACGGCTAACATCCGTGGCGAGTGATATCTGAGCCAATCCTGGGTACATCCCCTTCCATCCCATCCGCCCCTCCTTCACCAACCAAACATTGCCCAGCATGGTTAAGTATGGTCAAACCACACAGCATAGGGAGGCCTTCATCCAGCAGCGGATCTACAGAGGGCTGCAACCTACGACTCTAACTGCCGTGGCTTTGGGCCACAATTACGTTATAAGGCCATCACAATTGATTGAACTTTTCTGGGCTGTCTATGACAACTTAATGTTTAAAAAAAAAGCCATCCTTAATGTGAAGGTCACGAGGTTATAAATGTCACGGAACCAAAGAGAGATTCATGGTTTCAAATGCCAACTTAGTTTCAAGCTGTTGCCTTGATTTCGAAGGGGGCCAAGCTACGTTTGACCGGGTTGCGAAATAATGACGATGGGGTTTTTTTTTTTTCACAATCGAGGCTTTGATTAAAAAAAAAATAGCAGCGTTGGTGCGCGACGGTACAGCGCGAGCAGCCCTTGCAGCTTGACGTCCTGTTGTGTTTTCTCGCGATTTGCACGGAGCTCGTCCGCACTGCGACGCAGTGCCCAGTGCCGTCGCTGTACCTGCTTCATCGCGAGTTCTCAAGCTAATACACTAAAACACGATTTCGTATTCCACCAGGTGTAAGGCCCCAACTGAGCTCTTCGGCACTTTTTCAGAAGCGACCTCGCTATCGCTAATTATAGCTCAGCGAAGTGGAATTGTACAGCAGCCAAATACTCAAAAAGGACGTTGATTTTTTAAATGCAGAGGGGCGAAAAAACCGGAGGACCCGGAGAAAAATCCACGCGACCGCACAGAGAGACACATGCAGACTCCAAATTTACAACAACAACAACTCGCCACCGTTGCGCCACGATTTCAACTTGCAACTCGACACCGCACGATATCCGCTCGCTCTCGTCGAGAGAGAAGTGAGGAGCCACGGGCAAGCAAGAGGGCGGCCACGCGATGAGTCGGTGCCAATAATTGCCCAAGTTCCGTGATCCTCTATGTGTAGTGATGGTGTTATCGGCAAATTCCCCCAGTACAGCCAGCAACCGCCCTCTCCCCACCCCATACTTTTTTAGGGACTCCAAAAAGCCTCTGTCTCACTCCGCGTGTCTCACTCTGGGTGTCTCACCGCATGTCTCTGTGTTTCTGCCTCTCTTCGTGATTTTTTTCTGTCTGTAAATGTCTGTGCCCAACTTATGTGTTTGCCTGCCTGTCTTCGCCTCTCGGCGGGTCTCTTTTTGGTAATTACTCCACGTGGTTGATTGTCTTCGTGTCTGTCAGTATTCACGTTTCTCTTAGCACGCTGCGCTACGAACCCGGCGAAACCGAGTTCGATTCCCGCTCACGGCCACCCACAACAGTGACGATTATCTGAACCGGTCCTGGGCCTCTGCTAGGTCGACTCAAACTTAACTGACTACCTGTTGAGGTGTGTAAACATCGCCACTCGAGAGCCAAAAGCGGCCTGGGCATAGTGCTCGCCACCCAACCTGCCGCGTGCCGTGCCAGCCTCCATAGGTGCTCGCCAGTAGCCTCAACAGCCTGTTCCAGGCTAAACCGTGGTCTTCGTCTTTGTTGTCCGCTGCCTGTGTCTCTGTGCGTCTCTGTCTTTGTCTCTCTGACTTGTGTCGGTCTCACTGTGTGTCTATCTCTGTGTTGGAACCCTGGCCCCTGCCCATGAAACATGGAATTTGCACCAGTTGCTGAGGGCCACCGATGGAGCTGAGCCTTGCCGAGCGCTGACGAGATTTTCTCCGCAGTGGCACAAGACGTAATGAATTAATAACAAATACAAATCTTTTATTTACGAATGGACTACCTCCTACTGAGACCCGACTGTCAGCCCTTTGAAAAGGAGACCCAAAGAAAAATCACATTCAACCCTCGGCTCGAATATAGCTCATGAATGAAATATCCGTACGGCTTGCTCGCCGATTGTGTGGACATACGTACTCACACGCACGCACAACGCGCGTACATATGCACTCGCACGCGCACGCACACTTTTGCACAAATGTGCACACACACGCACTCAAATGTAAGCAATTCACTGGTTATTTAACCGTGGGCGGGTGGACACACTGTGATGCAAAGAAATCGACGTGAAAAACTAAGGTTTGTAATGTCGAACCTTTATGGATTCAAGTGTGTCCCATACAGGGAAGCAACAACAACAAAAGTCAAAGTGAATTTCCAACTCAAATGAGCATTGAAGCGGCACTCATCTGCCGTTTACAACCCTGAGCGCCGCTGGAAATGCCACGTTCCTATGGCAGGCGCGAGTCTATCCATCGAACGTCCACAAAGCGGTATTTATTTCAGCAACCCTGAATGGGAGAGGGCTAATGGAATGAGTAAACCCCCAAACCAGGAGTTGAACTCGCAACCCTCGTGATCGCGAGCCAATCGCTCGACTAACCGGCCACCTGGCTGGATTACAAACAGAAATGTTAAACTATTTCTTTCTTTTACCAGGTAAGGCCCAGTGAGCTGTATAGCTCGTTTTCAGAAGTGACCTGACTATCACAAATGAAAGCTCAACGAAGTAGCTTATCATCATGTGGAAATTTATAGCAGCCAAATACTCTATAAGCATGCTTCCAAATGTGGAGGGGAAAACGGGAGGACCTGGAGAAAAATCCATGCGATCACAAGAAGAGACACACACAAACTCCAAACAGACAGGCGCCAGCATCAGGACCGGACCCACTACCTCCTGTATACCGGGCGAGGTAGTAAATATCTCGCCACCGCACCGATATGTTAACAAATCAGCGGATGGGACGATCGCGATGGGCCAAAACCGCTGGTGCAGACGCGGCCGTCGCCTCCACGAGCCCTCGACTCGGCGACCCAAATGGTGACCGGGCGCCGACTGTGACAAGAGAGCGTGGGGGGGTGGGGGGGTGGCGTACCGTGCGGAAGGCGACGTCGAGTCTGCGTGCCGCGTCGTCCGTTTGCTCCCCGGCCCTCCTCGCTCCGTCCAGGGCCCGCGTGGCCTCTGCGGCGGCACCCTGGCATCCGGGCCCGGCGCCGCACGTCAGCAGCCCCGTGGCGGCATCACGGCAACCGCCTCCGCCGCATGGAGGAGTGCTGTCGCACGGCGCGTCGCCCCGAGAGCCGCACACCTGCATGGCGATGAGGACGCCGCAATGATGTGGGCAATGCAATGCGGTGCGACATAGTGCGACGCGGCGCAATGCAATGTGGTGCCACGGGGTGCAATGCGGTGCCACGTGGCGCAGCGCTGAGCGGGAAAATGGATTGCGGCGCGATGCAACGGAGTGCAGCATAATGCGTTGAAATGCTGCGCAATGTAATGCAATGTGGCACCATGCAACGCAATAGCATGTGGCACTTGCAAATATGATGCCGCACAGGACAAAGCAATGTGACCCAATGTAATGCAATGTGGCCCACAATGCAATGTGGCCCAATGCAATGCAATGTGGCCCACAATGCAATGTGGCCCACAATGCAATGCAATGTGGCCCACAATGCAATGTGGCCCACAATGCGGACCCCCCTCCCCCAGGCGGACCTTCTCGTTGAGGCGAGCGATGAGGCCATTGTTGCCAGCGATGCCTTCGACCTCGCCCACGGCCGCCCCGAGTGTCGCCACCCTCCTCGCGAAGTCGCTCCCCTCCAGGCGAGCGAGGGTCTCGGCTCGCCGCCGGGCCGCCCTCGACTCCTCCAGGGCCCCCCCGGGAAGCTCCACGGCGTCGCGGGCCCGGCTCCCGGCCGCTTGGGAGTCCCGGTAGGCCGAGCGGATGTTCTCGTACGCCCCTGGTTAAAACAGAAACGGGTGGACGCGGGGCAGAGACTGCAGTTAAACTAAACTATTCAAACGGAGGTGCGGGGGAAGAACAACAAACTAAACACAAAAAGCAGATCTAAAGAAAATAGTTTTGTCAATCAGGAAATTAGGACCAAGGCCAGGGGTTGGCAACCAAAATAACAAGAGGAACCATTTTATTCGAATTCGGTAAAAAAAAACGCAATGTTTCAAGAGCCGCAATGCACTGTGGGTAAATACAAGACGGTGGTCCTTAATAAATAACGGCACGAAGCAGTCCTGAAAGTTCCACAGGTTACCGACCAACCCCTGGCTTAGGACGACTGAGAAACCATGTCCTGGTTTGGTCGACAGTGGAAAAGGAAAGGAAACCCTGCCGTGTGAGTCCACCGTGCAAAAGCAGAGAGAAAGCTCATGGAAGGAAGCGAAGTGAAGGCAAGGTGTGGGGAGATCGATGGCTTTCGCCGTGATGGCCTCTTGACGTTGATCTGCATCATGGCTGATCAGCTGATCTTTTGGAGGGGTTCGCGGGTCCAAAAAATTCGGAGGACCTGATGCAAGACCGCACGTGTAAATAATACATCCTCTATTTAACCAGGAAATCATCACTGAGTTTCGAGAGTACATTTTTCAGGAGGGTCCTGCATTGAGATGTTTGGCCAATTCCATTAATGAGTAGTATGTGGGAGTAACCACATAAAATGCACTCATTTATGGAGAGTAACGATCAAATGTCTGCATATATAGAATCAAGAATCCCTTTGATCTACTGCCATCTCTGGGCTACTTTGCAGCGCAAACCTACAACACCTGGTATTCCCATCCGATATCTCAGCCAATTGACAACCAGGCTCATGCCTGCTTTGCTTCTGAGATATTGCAGGGGTGCATTGGGAGGAGGCGATTCGATGACCAGATCGCCGCTGAACGGTCCGCACACACGGGTCAACATAGGACGTGGCGAGTATCTCTTAACGGCGACCACGACCGCCGACCTTGAAAGTCCGAGTTGGCGAGGGCGTTGAAGTAGCGTTGGGCTTTGGCGGCCGTGCCGTTAACGCGCAGCGCGCTCAGCTCCAGCCGGTCCAGGGCCCCCTCGGTGCCGTCGCGTCGCGAGCTCAAGGCTGACATGGCCCCGTCGGCCGCGCGCTGCCGCGAGCCCAGACGATTGGCCAGCTCCCTGCGGCCCGGGGGTCGCACGCACGGATGGACGCACGCACGGACAAACGCACAGACGCACGCACGGACCAACACACGGACGCACGCATGGACGGACAAAGCACGGACGGACAAACGCTCAGCCGTGCGGCCAGAACCGGTGTACGCCACTGTTGCTGCCCCCCCCCCACACGCCCGCCAACCCCCCCCCCCCCTCGCTGCTGCACCCCCCTGACCCCCGACTTATATTTGTTTTCCCCAGGAGAACAAAACAAAAAGCGTGACGTCACAATGCTGACGGATTTGTGGGAGTAAATCTACATACAGGTCAAAGGTGCAGCCACTGCAATTGCTTGCTCATGCCAATGTTGGCAGACGAGCCTCAAAAGGGGAGGTTTTAATTGAGAGCCCCGCCCCCCCCCCCCCCACGTCTAGAGAGTATAAAGGCCTACTCTTCCAACCTGGCCAGACGTCTTGGAAGAGGTGGGGGCGGGGGGTACCCACGCATTACCCCACCACAACGCGACTTGCCAATCGACTCGCTGCGGCATAGCCATAAACACCGCCGGCAGGACGGAGGCCATGGGGGTGATTCAAGAAAGGCCCATGCCATCGGTTCAAGTGGCGAGCCAGGAGGGTCGAATCGAACCGGCGACCTCCAGATTGAGCTGTAACCATCACCCAAGACATCACAAGCTTCCCAACCCCCCCACCACCCCCCTCCCCACACTTTGTAAAGGAGTAAAATAGTAATAATGAGAAAATGTTATCTCTGTTACACATTTGTATTTTCATCATGGGACATTGCGTTTACAGCAGAGGGTCGGGGGGGGGGGGCCATGCCCCGGGGCTTCCCGTAGCTACTGGCCTGTACATGTCTAACTTTGTTAATGCAACGGTGCAAGTTTGCTGGATGAAACGTGGGGGGGGGGGGGTGGGGCAGTTGACTGCTGAACATGCCTCGGTGTGTAATGGGCCGTAATGTCCCAGCGCTGGGGGAATCGCAGGCACAAACATGCCGCGCATCCTAATCGCCGCCGTCTCGGCGTCAAGACGCTCAAAGCCCTGCACAGATGCATTCAGGAAACCGTTGCTCCCAACCGGGGGTTTGAACTCGCAACCTTCTGATTTGCGAGCCGCTCGGATCTACCGCTGAGCCACTTGGCCTGCTCAATTTTGCTGGACGACGATGACAAAAACTGATTGTCACGATTTAGTGGTGGTCGTGTCTAGTGATGATGATAATGATTCAAGTATTTGCATTTCGATTATTTTAATGATTATGACGATGCCCAATTGTCGTTAATGTGGCAAGCAACACTACTTCAAGTGGTCTGTATAACAATGGAGCAAGGATGATGATGATAATGACAGTCGCTTCTCATCTAAGAATCTCATCGTGGCAATGATGGCGGATAAGAAGATTTCAGCAGCCTCCATGCAACCCACTCTGTTATGTGGGAAATCACGACGAACGCGGCAGCCGAACACTGATCATCGATCTCCCGGTCTCCACAGCAACAATACCAACAACGCGAGCCGCGCTAACGGCCCTCTTCAGGACCAAACAACGACCACGTGCCAGATAGGCCCTGGGACAAGGATCTTCCAACTGGACATGGAGGGACTCTTGTGGGCAAAGCGCCATCGTTGCGCTGCATCTACATCAGCCGTGCCAATAACGATCGCCTGACAACAGCGACGATGTCAACGATAACCTGACAACAGCGACGACGACGATAACCTTGACAACAGCGATGACGTCAACAATAACCCTGACAACAGCGACGATGTCAACGATAACCTGACAACAGCGACAACGACGACGACGATAACCCTGACAACAGCGACAACGACGTCGACGATAACCTTGACAACAGCGACAACGACGTCGACGATAACCCTGACAACAGCGACAACGACGATAACCTTGACAACAGCGATGACGTCAACAATAACCCTGACAACAGAGACGATGACGCCAACGATAACCCTGACAACAGCGACGACGACGATAACCTTGACAACAGCGATGACGTCAACAATAACCCTGACAACAGAGACGATGACGCCAACGATAACCCTGACAACAGCGACGACGACGATAACCTTGACAACAGCGATGACGTCAACAATAACCCTGACAACAGAGACGATGACGCCAACGATAACCCTGACAACAGCGACGACGACGATAACCTTGACAACAGTGATGACGTCAACAATAACCCTGACAACAGCGACGACGACGCCATCAATAACCCTGACAACAGCGACGTCAACGATCACCTTGACAACAGCAACGACGACGTCATCGATAACCCTGACAACAGCGACGACGACGTTAACGATCACCCTGACAACAGCAACGACGACGTTAACGATCACCCTGACAACAGCAACGACGACGGCGACGCCGAAGAGCGTCCCCCGGGCGACCTCATCATCCTCACCGGTTCCTCCTCGCCGCGCCCTCGATCCGCTCCGTCACCGCCCCGTCGCCGCCGTCTCCCGCGGCAGGACACGCGTCCAGCAACTCCCGCGCCCTCTGCAGGTCCCGCTCGGCCGCCAGGAACGCCTGCTCGTGGCTCCACGCGGAACCCATGCTGCCCGCCGTGATCATCGCCTTGGCCCTGTCACGGAGCTCCCCCACGCGGACCCCCAGCGCCTCCACGTCTCGCTCCCAGGGGCGAAAGCACGGCTCGCACGAGCGGCACTCCGAGCTCGACGACGGCGGTGGCGGCCGCTGTCGCTGCTGTGCCTCCGGCGCGCGGTTCGGCAAGGCCCCGGAGAAGCCTGCGGAAGAGAACGGTCGCTCGGCCGGTCAGACGAGGCCCGGCGGTGGTGCCGCTGTGGCGAGATGTTAACTACCTCGCCTGGTACGCGGGAGGTCGTGGGTTCGAGCCCGATCCTAGCACCTGCTGCTGTATATTTGGAGTTTGAGTGTATCTCTCTCTGAAATCATCATCACGGTGGTTGGGAGATGTTAACTACCTCGCCTGGTATGCGGGAGGTCGTGGGTTCAATCCTGACCCTGACACCTGCTGCTGTATATTTGGAGTTTGAGTGTATCTCTCTCTGAAATCATCATCACGGTGGTTGGGAGATGTTAACTACCTCGCCTGGTATGCGGGAGGTCGTGGAATCAATCCTGACCCTGACACCTGCTGCTGTATGTTTGGAGTTTGTATTTTCGAACCTCGGCTCTCAAAGGTGGCAGCTCAGAGCTCTGACCCGTGAGCCACCCAAGTGGAGTTTGTGTTCTCGGACATGGAGCAGCCGTGGCAATGACGATGGTGATGATGATAGTGATGGTGATGATGATGATAGTGATGATGATAGTGATTATGATGATATCGATGATGATCATAATGATGATGATGATGGTAGTGATGATGATGATGATAGTGATGATAATGATAGTAGTGATGATGATGATGATAGTGATGATGATAATGATGGTAGTGATGATGATGGTAGTGATGATGGTGATGATAGTGATGGTGATGATGGTAGTGATGATGATGGTAGTGATGATAGGCTGCATTGACACAAACCCAAACTGTAAGTTTGAGGTATTCTGACTGGAGGATGAGTGTTCTGACCACACCAACAGTGGCCCACTCCCATGGATGGACTGCCCCCTGTCATAGGAATGTGGACATCCCACTAGTGTCTCAGAGCTGCCAAATGAAATGAGCGCCGCTCCTGCGGAAATGCTTCGTCCTGGCCCCCCTTGTGAACTTCGATGAGCTGATCAGACGATACGGATAGCAATGGGTTTTGAGTGATCCTCGCCATGAAACGTATCTAAATTTAAATGCGCACTTCATTTCGACGGCAATTTCTCTCCCTGTATTGTAATCGCCGTTTTTGTTTTGTTTCCTGTGCGCCGCTCCCGTGCCTCGCTCGCGCGCGTCCTTTGTTGCCGGGCACCCCCTTGGCAGCAAACACTTTCATTCTCAACGGCCTCCCATGGTTATTATCATCATCATCTTTGACAACAATCTGTTCACTGCTGGATGAGCGCCTCCTCAAAGCCGTCGCCGTCCTACGGGGTCTCGCAATGGTGCGCGCACGAGCTGATTCAAACGCTCCATCTCCGCGGCAGTTCCGTTATTGTTATCATCATTATTATTGTTGTTGTTCGCACACTTGAGAGCACAACCTCGCCTCGCTATGTTGTCGTTCACCGAAGGCGATGCTCGTGGGGAAATGCCCCCGAGGTTGAGATGTTATTTGAACAATCGCCAAGTCAAATGGCCCCGCTTGTTTGCCAATCACAGACCAACTGACTCATTCTTGCCAACAGCGCCACACCTCACCACCACGTCCTCCTCGCCGCCGGCATGTCACCTCACGGTGAGCAACACGTGAACGTAGACGCGTGAGAGACACAAAACCGCAGTCTGTGAAGGGCACGCACACACACGCTCACCCGCGCGCGTGTGTGGGTGCGTGTGGGGAGCGGTGGTGTAGCGGTTAGCGCACTGCGCTACGAACATGATGACCCGGGTTCGATTCCCGCTCACGGCCAACAACGGTGACGATTATCTGAACCGGTCCCGGGCCTCCCCTGGGTCGGCTCAGCTTCAAATGAGTACCTGGTGAGGTGTGTAAACATCGCCACTGGGGAGACAAAGGCGGCCGGGCGTGGTGCTGGCCACCCACCCCCTCGTGTACCGTTCCGGCCTTCATGGGTGCTCGCTAACAGCACTTGCCCCAACAGTCTGGTCAGGCTATACGGGGGGTCTGTGTCTTTGTCTGTGTGTCCTCTACAACGCATGCGTGGACACGTCGGAGTTCCGACCGCTTATCAAATGAACCAAACTCGACACGCAGTCCACACCCTGCCCTGGGCTGGATACACTCATCCACATACACACTCACGTGTGCAGACACACACACAAAGAAAAATATCCCCCGTATAGCCTTAACAGACTGTTGGGGCACGTGCTGTTAGCGAGCACCTATGAAGGTCGGAACGGCACACGAGGGGGTGGGTGGCCAGCACCACGCCCGGCCACCTTTGTCTCCCCAGTGACGATGTTTTTTACACACCGCACCAAGAACTCGTTAGAGGCTGAGTCGACCTAGGGGAGACCCAGGACCGGTTGGCCGTGCGCGGGAATCCAACTCGGTTGGCCGGGTTCGTAGCGCAGCGTAGCGCTAACTGCTACACCACCGTGGGAGTGTGTATGTGTCACATACTCGTACATACACGCTGACACACACACACACTCACTTGCATTGCAGACACAGACTCACTCTGACACACACAGATGTACAGACAGACGCACTCACACACATACAGCGTCACGCGCACGCTGACACACATACACACACTCACTTTCATTGCAGACGCAGACTCACAGTGACACACCCACACCCAGATGTACAGACAGACACACACACACGCGCGCTGACACATACGGACTCACGTGTACAGACGCGCATTGCCCGTGAAGCCAAGTCGAATGCATTGTCTGCCAAGTAAATCCGAGATTGACACTCACCCAGAAGGCCGAGCAGCAGAGAGAGTGTCAGGGCCGTTCATCCCTGTCGCGTTCATCCTCATGTCACTTGGAGTCTGTAGAGGCAAAAGAGCATTGTGGGTGCAGGCATCGGCACGCTGCTGTGGATGATACCGGCAATGTCACGTGGGGGGGCGGTGGTGCAGCGGTTAGCGATACAAACGCGGCAAAAGGCCCGAGTTCGATTCCCGCTCACGGCCCACCAACAATCAGCGACGGTTATCGGAACCTGTCCTGAGCTTCCCCGAAGCCTCGAATATGTGCCCGGTTTGCAAATATCAGCACTGGGGAGACAAAGGCGGTCGCGCGTGGTGTTGTCCACCCACCCCTCGTGCGCTGTTATCGGCCTTCAAAGGTGCCCGCTAAAGCCTGTGAAGGCTACAAGGGGGGGCGTGGGGAATCTTCGCCTTTGATGCCATAAAGTTGGAATGTTGTGTGCATTGATAGTGATTACAGCGGTGCGAGAGCAGGATAATGATGTAGGGGGGTTGTGATGAAAGAGTTCGTATGAATAATCGGTGGTGGTGTGATATAGACTGACGACAAAGATCTGCTGATAATAATAATGATGGTGATAACGCGAGTGACTTTTCTCCTGGCTCTGTTCGCGGTGATCACGAATCAATCGTCGTGAACATCTCGTGGTGATCACGAATCAATCGTCGTGAACATCTCGTGATGATAATTTCGTCCCACCGCTCCGTTTGTTGCGCTGCCCCTGCACATCCGATGAGCACGGTTGGCTACGTACGGTGTGAAAGAAGTTCAACATACACACACTCGTTTCTCATGACACGGCCTGCCCATTCCGACATCATATAATTTCCTTTAGACGAGGACGACAATGATGACGATGATTTTGATGAAACCACGCACATGATGATGCTGATGATGATAACGATGCTAATGACAATGGCGAGGAAGGCCGTCACTTCGAGCGATGCCGAGAACAACCCGCAACGCCAGCTCATCGCCACTGTCCGCTGGTCTTTGTGGCCGCATCACGCCGCACGGCCACGCGTTAGCTGCTGTTAATGTGCGCCGGGTAAGAGATGCACAATCGATGCACTATTCAAGCCACTCGTTCGCCGAAGCGTCACCGCCTTTCATCCCCAGACACCGCTGCACTCACCTTGCGAATACTCCCCGCGAGTTTGATTAGAAAAATTCAGCGGAGCGTTCTGCCGGTGTCTACCGCAAGGCACGCGCGGCAGCTCTTGTCGGCTCTTCCCCTTGCACCCAGGTGCGTTAAATATGAAGAACCACACCCAGAGCAACAACCTTGCATCGTCTGCGGGGCACACCCTACACCGCTGATGATGATTGTGGGCACCCCACCCACCACCCACCATCCCCCCGTCTCTCCCTCTCTCTCTCTCGGTCTATAACCTCCTAGCGCAGTGGGCGCTTCATCGAGCGTGCACTCTGCACCCACTGGGGGTGCGAGATGCCCTCTCTGGGGGTGCGAGACGTGGCCAGACTTTTTCGACGGTAAATCATCGACACACAAATGAAGCACGAACACGTGAGCGCAGCTACTTTGTTTCATCATCAAACCCCTTGTGTGTTTATTGACATCGTAAAAACTAATTTTAAAGATTGAGAACCTAAGGGGTGCAAGGCTGCGGTAAAAGAAGAAAAGTTAAGAACCACTGTCCTATCATGGGACCTCCTTTGCCAGTACCAAAATAACACCGTTTGAGACTAGGCTCGAAAGAAAGGAGGTCGACCACAGCAGAGCCAGTGCATGGTGGGAAATCTGCAAACGAACAATCTCAACAACAAACATTATTCACGCGAGAAGCGAGAAGCAGACAAGTTGCGGATAAGCGAGATTAATGCTATCTCTGTTTCTATGTTACTTAGCTTATTATGGTGATTAACACTTGGACTCCAGCTGATATTTGGTGTATCCATATGCACCAAAACAGTGAGACCGACGCAGAATTTGGATAAGGATAACGAGGCTCCAACAACAACAACAACGAAGATGATGATGATGAGACCCAGAGGCAGACAGAGCAGTGGCTATGATCCTCGTGTGATTCATAATCAGTTTTCATCACTATCCATCAAAACCATCATCACGATGATTCCTCCTGGGTTAATCAATGAAGTACCACTGTGGAGGAAGTAAACGATGCTTGATTTTATATATATTTATAATATTTATAAATCAGCCCCCCGCCAGAAGACCGTGGAGTTTCCAGCGCAGGGCCCCCAATGAAGATGAGCAGCGCACTTTGACTTTTGTGTAAGTTTGTAAATCGTGTGTGCCAGTGTGAGACTTCGTGTCTGTGTGTGTGGCGGTGAACTCGCTGCGCCGCGACCCGGTGACGATTATCTGAACCGGTCCTGGGCCTCCCGTAGGTCGACTCAGTGTCAAATGAGTACCTGGTGCGGTGTGTAAAAAACATCGTCACTGGGGAGAAAAAGGCAGCCGGGTGTGGTGATGGCCACCCACCCCCGCGTGTACCGTGCCGACCTTCATAGATACTGCTCGCTAACAGCACTTGACCCAACAGTCTGTTGAGGCTGTACGGGGGATCTTTGTATTTCTTTGTGCATTCTTTGTGTGGCCGGGCATCTCTGGGGGCTGATAATGGCCATGTTATACATCAGGGGCTCCTTTGGCTGTGAAAGCCCTAATTTAATGTAATGGGTTTGTTTTTTTCTAATTTTCCAATGCAGTCATTGATGAGTGAGCTGAGGTCATAAACTCACTGGCAATCCAGTTGAGTCATGGGCAGGCGACACGTGGATTCTGAACCCAGATCTCACCGGTTTGGGTTCAGCACTGTGACTCGCCTGTGACAGACACCAGGGCGCAGACATTCGTGCGAATGTGGCCATGCAAACCCAAAGCGATGTTCCCATAAACTAAACCACGCGGTCTACCGCTCCTTCAGCGGAGGAGGAGGAGCAGCAAAACGATATGAAATCTCTCTCCTGAAGCCCTCTCGGTGGCGAGCAGACCTCGACTTTGAACGCACTGGCATCGTAACACGAAGCGGAAAGGCGCATTCCTGAGACACCCGGCCATCGCAAGTGTTTTTTTCGCTTCCTTTTAGTGACTCATTTAAATCCATCGTAGGTGGCTGCTTAGCGGGTTGGCATTTGTTCGGAGAGACAGGACGCGATGATGATGATGAGCAAACCAGTGATGTGGGCCCAGACTTGCCCGTTGGGCCAATGATACGCCGAGTAAGATTGTCAACACAAAACGCGAGAGCCAAGGTGCCGGGCCGGATGTTCCCTACTTGGGTTGGGAGACACGTGCCGGGCCTCTGAGTGTGTGTCCGGGTCTGTGTGCGTGCGTGTGGATGTGTCATCGCCACTGCGGGGCGCGGTGGGGAAGCGGTTAGCGCGGATGGGCTACGAACCCGGCCACCCAGGTTCGATTCCCGCTCACGGCCAACACCAGTGACGATTATCTGGACCGGTCCTGGGTCTGAGTACCTGGTGCGGTGTGGTGAGATAAAGGCGGCCGGGCATGGTGCTGGCCACCCACAACACCCTCGTGTACCGTGCCGGCCTTTATAGGTGCTACTCGCTAACAACGCTTGCTCTGACAGTCTGTTAAAACTATTCGGGGGATCTTTGTATTTGTCATCATCTTCAACCATGATCGATCCACTGCTGGATGAAGCCGCCACCTCTCACGGTCCCGCGATGCAGCGGGTGGGTGGTTGGTTGCCGGGCATCAGCAAGCAACATAAGTAAAGCTCAGAGCACCAAGTAGCTCAAGGGGGGGGGGAGACAAAGGCGGCCGGGCGTGGTGCTGGCCACACCACCCCATCGTGTGCCGTCCCTGCCTTAACAGCTGCCTCGCTAACAGCACTTGCCCCAACAGTCTGTTAAGGCTACATGGGGGGCCTTTGTCGTTGTGTTTGCGCGTGAGCGAGCCCATGTGCGCGTTGTGTGAGCGCGCGTCACATTCGCGGTGCCAGACGGTAGCACTGCGCTGCTGTGATGTGAGCAACGCTGTGGGGGCTGGGGGAGAGAGGGAAGGAGGGGACGATGTCGTTAATTGGTTGTTTACCCTCATGGCGGACTCGTCAACAGCAGCAAGTCCGGTCTCGTGGAGTCGATCCCGACCCTGACGCCTGCTGCTAGGTATTTGGAGTTTACGGTGTCTCTCTCTCCCCGTGGTCGCGTGGATTTCCTCCGAATTTTCCCTCCACGTTTAGAATCAACGGGCGTTTTGAGTATTTGGCCGATTAAAATGTCCACGTGATCAGCGACTTCGTTGAGATATCATTTGTGTCGAGGTCTCTTCTGAAAAAGAGCTGTATACGTAGGTCAGTGGGGCCTTTGCCGGATAAAAAAATGTATTATTTAGTTTTGTTTAGTTCTAAGTTCAAACTCAGCTGACTTAAACAGCTCTCTTGCCAGCACACTTACATCCCAAGACCGTCGGCAGTCGCTTCAGTTCGGAGTCAGAATATTTATTGAAACTGGAGGAATCCGATGAGCTATAAAATTATTTTTACAGATGTCCAGTTGGGGTGGGTCAGAACATGACAACAAATCACTTTAAAATAAATATATGTATACAAATACAACTAAACTATATTTTATTATTTTACCGGATGAAACCCACTGAGCTATTAACTTATTTTTCAGAAGTGGCCTGATCACAAATTAGAGTTTTTTTAGGCATCTCGTGCTAGGGCTTGAACCCTAGATGCCAAATGTGGAGGCAAATATCCACGTCTCTCGATTAAACGCTCAATTGAAGCTACTGACATTTCATGGCCTGTTTCTAAATTTAGTATTGCACTCAGAGCCAGTGGAACTGAGAGATTTAAAATATATATGCATATAATTTTCTCACTGTTCTTGATGGCATTATAAATTACGCTGCCGGCCAAAGATATGTTTAAGTGGACCATTTCTGATTTGGAATTATAAATTGGTATCGTCTTAATTGACACCACATCTCAAAAGGGCTCCACTTTTTGATTCTGCAAATCGCCGGCGGGTTACGTGACCTCATTAAAATTAAGCCTCTCATCCAGGGCTCATCACAAAAAACCTTATCCTGATCATGTCCAAGAGTGCAGATGATTCACTATAAAAGGGACAATGCATCCATTAATATCTTCTTAAATATTACGGTATGATTAATTTCCCCATGGGACCTAGAAGCCCATAGACTTGACACATCTAATTTTGGACTACAACTTCATACATGCTGGAATACTCATTGCTGCCATAAGCATGTGAAATTTCCACCACTGGTCCAGGCCTGTTAAACAAGAGTTGAGCACTGCCTTGCTGCTCATTTGAGCTGGAAATCCCATTGACTCGTACACATAACACACACGTACACAACACGCTGAACAGACATACACAACACGCACATGATCGTGGCTGAGTGCCTGACGTAAGTTATGATGGCGGTCTGGAAAGGGCGAGAAAGATGAAATTTGTCACAGATACATAACGAATGCGTTATGTATTTTCATCCGCTGCGTCGTAGTGGTTCGTGAATTCGCAGTGACCCTTGGTCACCTGGGTTCAATTCGTGGCCAGGAAGCACAACACGAGCTGGCCGATTTGTATCTGAGCGAGTCCTGTGGCCTAGCCTAGGCTGGCCTAGCCAAGCTCTTTCACGTGTGTGCAGCCGTTCTTGACAATACTCACAACACTGTGCGCTGACGCCATGAGAGACTAAACACGATTTACTATTTTACCAGGTAAGGCCCACTAAAGCTACATAGCTCTTTTTTTCAGAAGCGACCTGGCCACAAATGATAGGTCAATGAATTGTCTGACTATCATGTAGAAATGTATTGCGGCCCAATACTCTAAACGCATGTTTCTACATGTGGAGGGATACACCTGAGGACCCGGAGAAAAATCCACGCGACCACGGGGTGAGAGAGACACGCAAACTCCAAATATACAGCAGGCGTCAGGGTCGGGATCAAACCCACGGCCTCCTGTACACCAAGCGAGGTAGTTAACATTTCTCCTCCCGTGGCACCCCAAGAGAGATTGGACTGTCTTCATACCTAAAATGATTACAATAATGTCGACTTGTAGCGCAGCGACACCGCAAAGTGTTTCGTAGGGAGAGAACGACTCAGAGGCACAAGAAGAGAACCACAGATGAGCCAGCAGCCAACAATTGCCCGAGCTCTGCGGTCCTATCTATACGAAGGTGTTTTCGGCCAACACAACGAGGTGTTTACATTGCAGGGGTCGTGAAACGGCTTGCGCGAGGCCTTCATCCAGCAGTGGATCGAACATTTGCTGATGATGGCAA